TTTTGCAATACCTAAATACTTGTCTAACATTTCATTTTTTTCAATTTTAATCCGTGGTCTGCTGGAACAGCGAAATCCATTGCCTGCGAAATGTTCCTAATGTTTACGAAAATTAATTCTTTTGAATCGCAAATCCCAGAAAAAATTATTTGTTTACAAGAATTGTTGATAATGATTCGATATTCTCTGACAGATCTTTCTTGCTTTGTTTATTATTATTATTATTATTATTATTATTATTATTATTATTATTATTATTATTATTTCCTTGGATTTCTGTTGTATATACATTTCCTTCCGGGTCCCAATCAGAGACCTAAGGTCAGAAATGGCTTCATGACATTTTCTACTGAGCATTTTTGTACCCCCTCCCTCCAAAAAAAACACATTTACATAGATAAAGCTGTATTATTATTTATTATTATTATTATTATTATTATTATTATTATTATTATTATTATTCTCCGTTTAACTTTTAGAATTAGTTTTCCTATGGAAAATGTATTTCAAAATCTATTATGTTATTAGCATTCTTTTATGATTAATAATCATTGTGTGTTATTTATTAAAAACAAGATGGAATTTTTATTTTCCATTGGCGTAAATTTAAGAAAAGAGTTAACAAAAGAGCAACAGTCGTTACCAGCGGTTTGCAGAATAAAAAGAAAACAATAATTTAAGAAGAAGTAAAGGGTTCGATACGAGGCAACATTTTACCTGCGAAATCTGCGATACTCATTATTGTTGTTATTTCCATTTTTATTGTTATGTAGAGTAGTTGTTGTTATGATATTTCGTTTTGTTTATTATTTGTCCCAGAAGAAAAGATAAAAACATTAAATAAACAATGATAGTTCAATTAAAAAGTTTTCGAAAATATCCAGGAAACCTGATTTACTATATTTCTCATTATATAATACGCACCGGCGCATAACACACGATTATAGTTCGGGAAGAAATATGTAGGAAAAACTAAAACTAATTGGTGTGTAATTTATAAAAATTATTTTAACATTATTTTGATTTGAAATCATCATTTAATCATACTGGGATCATCAGCCAACTAGTGTGTCAAATAGGAGTGCATATGTGCTAGTACCAATAACATCTACCCTAAGGTCAACTTAAAACTACCCATCGCGGTTGAAGATATAGAGTGATTTTGTGGGGAAAGTTCACTTTATGTGGTTATAAATACAGTACTAGACGTACATAAATATATATTTTAAAATTTTCTCCGCTTTAAACAAAATATTTTTGAAATTTGTCTGGAGGAATTTGACTGAAATGTTAGACATGTTGATTTATCATTTGCCATGAAAAGATACGATCCTTTTTAAATAACCAACAGTTCAGATTTTCATTTCACAAGATTTTATATTTTGATAAGTACATTTGCTGTAGTTAAATAAAACATTCAAGAAGTAAAATGTATCCTTTGAATTTTATATAGACTTTTTCTTATTTCTATCGTAAACTTCACGCTCAGTCATTGGTTTTCATGAGTTGATTTAACATTATAAAGCCATTCTTACCCTTTTTTTTACATTGAAATGTTTCTGCAAATACTGGTAATACTAAACATTAAAAAAAAATAAGCGAAAAATTTGATTCTTCTTCGTCAATTTTATCATTATCAACCAAACCATGTTTCTTAAGGCTTCGGTGAAATCTGGTTGTATGAAAAGTTTTAATTAAAGATTTTTTTTATTGTTAGTTAAATTATTTTTAATGTTTTGAATTTGGTCGTCAAGATTTTGGAATTTTGTCAATTGTTATTTTATTTATTTATTGTTCAAAAACAAAAATAAAAATAATTTATTTCCGATTCACAAACATGACATTCATCAAACATAGTCCATCTTAGTTTTATAATAAAATATTGGGGAAATCTATGAAAAAGTGGAAAAAAATTTCATGTGACTCATTTCGCCCTTTAGGACTTCATCGGACAAAAGTGAAGTTGACGTGATTACACATGCGCATGAAGGAGAGAGAACGCTGAAATTTAATTTTTTTATTT